CCAGCTGGCGCAAGCAGGTCTGTGCTGTCTTGCGCTTTCAATAAAAACTTTCATTTTAGATATAAATCAAGCAAAACGTTTCTCGTCGTCACAGCTTTTGTCACTCTGTTCCATTCAATAATTAATCTAGACTTCTCTCTTACATCACATGCTTTCTGTACGTCCCTTTCTTCCTTCCGGACTTTATTCTGGTTTTAAAGAGAGAAAACCGTGTGCTTGGTAGATCTGGGGAGCGGGGTGGGGAGTGGGGTTCACGTGCAGCTGTCTCGGCGGCGGATGAAACCCTCCACTTCTGTAAGAGTTCAACTTTCCCATAGTAAACGTTTGGCTTTTTTTTTTTAAGCACTAAAGAGAGAAAACGTGGCCCTTCAAGGGGCTTGCGATGAGGGGAGGAACGATGTCGCCACAGCCAGCCAGGCAGCCCCAGCACAGGGGGGCTCGACCCACCCGCACAGCGCCCTGGAGCTGAGCCAAGGGCCTGGGGGCCGCGACCCAGCCTCAGGCCGGCCAGGGGCGAGCCCGGTACAGCCGAGCCCTCAGCAGCGGGGTCTGTCCTGTCCCCACTCTGTCTCTTGGGGTCCCCCACCTCTGGCCTGCACCCCAGTTTTTGTATGCATAAACGAAATAAAAATTCCTTAACAAGAGCCAAAATTAAACGTGACTTTTTTTTTAAGATTTATTCATTTACGCACACACAAGAACTGGGGTGCCAGAGATGGGGTGAGAGGACTCCCCAGAGACTGCGTGGGGAGCAGAGCAGGCGGATCCACTGAAACTCACTGCCGAAGGGCAGCGGGGACAGGAGGGGGTGCTGCGCCCTGGGGTCGCCCCCTGGCCGGTGGCTTCAGGCTGCACTGGCTGTGGGCAGCACCCCAGTGCTGTGCTGTGACCTGACGTGTCCCCAGGGAGGCCCCCAAAACTCAACTCTCTCAGGAGACACAGGCTCTCCCTTCATGGTCCTAAATTTGTTCTTCCCTTTGTCACCAGAAACTCAAGTAGGACAAGACGCGCCTGGACTTCACTGGACTGAGGCGTGAGCCCCCAGGCACCGGCACGGACGAGCCCGCACAGCTCAGCACACCCAGGCCGGGGCGAGTGGAGGCGCGGCCAGAGGCGCACCCCGTCCCAGGCCACCTCACACCTGCCGGCCAGCAGCAGAGGGGGGCAGCCAGCGCGGGCGAGGACAGGCGGCTGCTGCGGCGGCGGGCAGCTTAGCATTTCCGCTCAAGGGTAAACTCGGTGACTGGCCAGCAGCCCGCCCCGAGGGGCCCCCAGGAGCAGCAGGGACAGGTCAGACAAACCTGCCACAGAAATGCCCACAGTGTAGAACCCAAAGGCTGAGGTCCAAATGTCCACTCAGAACGAGGGACACCCAGCCAGTGGGATATCACGCAGGCGTAAAACCGGACCACGTGCTGACCGGCCAGTGCAGGGACAGGAGGCGGGAGAGACCAGAAGACCGGGCACAGCCAGGGCCGCCTGGCCAGCGGGGCGGGGCGAGGGCCCACTCCAGGCAGCGGGCATTCCGGGGCCGGGCAGCCGCACCGCAGGGCCGCAGCAGCCCTCCGAGGGGCCGGCACCTGTGTCGGCTGGGCGTCTGCGGTGACCCAGCTCAGGGACGACTCGCCGCACACCCAGAGCGCGGTGGCAGCAGCAGGGACTCGCAGGAAGCTTTGCGGGGCAGGGCCGGCGGGGCCGGCGGGGGTGACCGCCGCAGAGCAGGGCTGCTGGGGACGAGGCCGACAGCGGTCTCTTCCCGGGACACCCACAGCTGCCCGCAGGAGCCAGGCTGCCCGCCTGTTTCTCAGGGCAACCGCACTTTCTATTTTACTAAAGATTTATTTTTGTGTGCATACAAGAACTGGGGTACAGTCCACAGGTGCAGGAGGTGAGAGGACTCCCTGGAGACAGAGTGGGGAGCAGAACCGCTGAAACCCACTGCTGAGGGGGCAGCGGGGAGACAGCAGGGGTCTTCTGCGCCCTGGGGTCCCTCCCTGGCCGGGGACCAAACCTGTGTCACAGCAGCTGTGGAAAGCTCCCCAGTGCTGTGCGTGAACCCCGGCACCATCAGCGAGGGCCGAACCCAGACTTTTCAAAGGAGCGTTTCTCTGATGGAAAGTAATAGGGCTCCGTCTTCGAAA